GTTGCAAGGGACGCTCAAGAAATCAAAATGTAGAAGAGTGCTTCTCAAAAACCAGTGTAGAGTGATGGAGGTACACCTGCCCAGAGTTGTGCAGTGCGTGTTGGTGAACCAGCCGACGCTCGGGCGAGGCGGTGGGCACGGCTGCCTGCTGAACAACTTGGAGGTGGAAAAAAGCAATTGTCAAGGAAGTAGATGAGATGAAACCAGTGAGTCACCTTTTCATCTCTGCCTTACTGCGTCCAATGATTAAAGCTCAGCTCTTCTGTCTGCAACTCCTCCTATGACAGAAACCTGTGCTTCAAAGACACAAGCAAGTACATGCGGAGCAGAGACATCTCGCTGAGATATTTAACTTAATTGATCCTCCCTATAATATGATTTTCAACTTCTCTTGCATCTCCTGGCAAAACAAGTGGAGAAAAATAAACCAAACCAGTTTGACACCTAACGAACCCCTCCACGCCGCTGCACACTCATAGGACTGGCAGTCCCTATCTCAGCAGGCACAGGAACCTTGGCTCCAGGGTTCATCCAACATCTTGTTTTCGCACCGCTCTTCACTTATCTTTGCAGGGCAGGGAAGCCTTTAATTGCAAAGTATAAAAACAAGTTTAAAAAAAAAAGAAAAGCAACAACCCACAGCTTCCTGCCTGGTGGGAACAAACCTGCACGCTGGGCTGGGTGCTGCCTCGAAACTCTTGGAGGGGTTGGCTCCATCTTCCTGCCATTGAGTTGTCTTAGAGCAGAGAGGTGGCCACCGCCTCGTTGGGTCATTTCACAGCATACATACCTATTTGGTCTTGGCCCTTCAGACCAGATTTACAAGGGCTTCCCCTCAGCCACCATGCTTGGAACTGGATACTGAAGCCCCAAGTTACCATGCCTTTAAAGCAGCCAACAACCACATCAAATGGAGTCTTAAGAACTCCATTTACCATCTGATGGTTGAAGCTAAGCTGGATATCCAAAATATCAGCATCACTATATCTCTCAGTGTAACCTTCACCATTGAATCCTTGCAACAGAGCAGGCAATTCTTTAGAAACACTTTGAATCAAGAAATCCAGACTTCCCCTTGGTTTCTCTCGAACCTGAGCTATGAATCTCTGAAGTCTAAAGGATGAGCTCGCAGTCCAACTTTTCTCCAATATCTTGGCTCATATCTTCCCAAAAACCTGTAGGGTCGTTGTACCTTTGAAGCCCACTAACCAAATACAGCCAAAATGGGCAAGATGATTCCTAAGTCAATGGGAGAAATTTAGATAGGAAAAAGGAAAGAGCAAGCACGCATTTTGTAAGGCTGAACACTCCTGCCTAAACTTTTATAATACATCTCCTAAATGGAAAAAAAACCTCCAAGAAATATGTGAACAATGCAGAAAAGACAGAAAATTTGTATAAGAGGAAGATGAATGGAGCACGTAGCAGGGACAGAAGGGAGTTGTGTTCTTGAGAGGAACGCTCTTCTATCAAGCATCCCTATCAGAGGTAATAGGGAAAAATTAATGCATTGGAGGGAGACCTCTCACTACGCAGCTGGCCGACATCCAACACAAACCCACAGCAACCACAACTGGCTTTCAAACACAGTAAAAAGAGCACATAAAATGTTTGCTATTTGACAAGCGGTGAGCAGAACAGCTGTTACGCACCCAAACCGGCGTTTGCCTATCTTACCTCGCTGCTGGGGTTTGTAAAGCTGATGCTCAAATTCACAAGCACCATCAAATTCACAAGCTGCAACCAAGATGAGAAACAAAAATGATGGAGCAGAAGAGCGGAACCTCCCAGCCCTCATCCCTCACTCGTGTGTCTCTGGGATAAGGGCTCCAAATTGCCCTCGATGCAGAAAGTTTGCACTTCTAGTGGATATTCAACACACAGATTTACAATCCGCTGGACAGAAGGATGGGCCTCGAGTAAGGAGCTCTAATCCAGCTAAGGTGTTCCCCTGCCAGAGCCCAGAGTGAAATTCTTCGAGCGCTGGAGACCGATTTTCCTTGGCGGGCGGCCACAAGTGTCCATCTGGCTTCTAGGAGAGATCAGCATGGCCGGGGATGGCAGCGACTTCACAGACAAATATAAAGCCTTGCCTCTTCAACCAACTTGCTTATAAGAAAGCCATGGAAATGAAAAGCTAAAACACTTCCAGCTGGTCAGAAACTGAGGTGAGAACAGGGAACTCATTGCATGTGCAGATTTGGGCTGATGTGGAGTACCCTGGAGCTCATCAGTGGCACTTGGGCATGCTGTGGTATTGGGACCCAAGTGCCTAAGTCACGTATGAAAGTTTTAATAGCTCTACATTACAGCGATTTGTATTTGAGAATCAAATCCAATCACTGCATTCTTCTCCCATTTTACATTTTATTGTGCTAGGAAATAATTTTCATTTTAAAGCAACTTCATCTCAAGATACTTTGAATTTTTTCTTGTATCCAGAATTGCTTTTTTGAAGCTCAAGGTTAATAGTACTAAAAAACATTGGGAAAGAAGAGAGGGATCTTTTTAATTGTCTTACAGTGTGTGTTTTCTGTCTGGTTATTTTAATTACCTACACAGCAAAGCTACCTTGCTCATGCAGAACCATGCTAATTGACAGGTGGGTATAGATTTCCCTAGAACACAAACCTGACATTATTTTTAATACCTTTTCAAAAGCTTGTATGGAGATTTGAAACGCTCCTTCAGCAGCTATGCAGAAGCTCCTCCAATTTTAGGTGGGAACGTCTTCATAGGATGACAATCATAGAATGGTTTGGGTTGCAAGGGACCTTAAAGACCATCTGGTTCCAAACCCCTGCCATGGGCAAGGCTGTCATTTTTCTATGTCAACACTACGCTAACATTCAGTGGCATCAAAGAGGAAGAACAACATACCTAAAGAGAGCAAATTAAAAGCAAAGCAAATAAAAACGTTAAGACCTCTCTTTGCTGCACCTCCATCCACCTGCTCACCCTCCAGCTCCCAGCTCCCATTTGGAGATGCAATCCAATTAGATGTTCCATGGTGGTGGAAGTGTGGGATCTCTGACAGTCCTGGAGCAGTGGATGACGCAGATACCCAAAGCTTGGTGACACATTCTGTGCCATGGGGTCAGGGCAGTGGTATGGCAGAGGCAGCTGGGAACCATCTCAAACCCTCCTGTGGTCACTAATCTCAGTAAAGCAGCGATAAGCGGACTCAGCTCTACTTGCAGAAATGAGGTTGTCCATTATTGCTACAATCCTTGGCACCAATGAGCACTGCTGTTATCCAGCAGAACATCTAGGACTGCCTGTTCTCACCTGGCACTCCTCCCCTGTTCCTTGCAACACTCAGAAAGGCCTCATTTTCAAATACAAGAAGAAGGTGGGACTGCCTTCCTAAACAAAGAAGAAAATGTTCTGTACAAAGGAGAACATTTGACAGAGGAAGAAGAATGGTAGAAGGCTACTGTTCAGCCTCTCCCTTGCTTGAGCTGAATTCATTTGGCTGCGTTCTGCACTTATGAGCCGTACAAACATTTTGCATCTCCCAGCCTGCTGCTAACGCACTGGCTCACAGCAGCTCAACCTCACAGAGCACTTTTACGGCGTCTCATTCTTCAGAAAGCCACAGCTTTCCTCTTCAAAATCCCCACATTCATGTCTTTGTGCTTGGAAAAGAACCAAAGCCTCCACATTTCCTTATATCCGGGAGGTTGCAAGCGCATTGCGTATTGCAGTCAATAAAGCGCCAAGAAGTTAATGAAGATAAAAATGTCAACACGCGGCCGTGATAACACGCACCTTTTCTGCAGATCTATTTGGAATGTTCTGCAAACAAATTTGGTACTTACTCACAGGCTGGAGTACGAAGGGCACCCACACGGTATCCCGACGCTATTAAAGTTATCGCTGCCTTGCAAAAGTGTCATTGGGTGATGGATTGCTCTGCACCTCAATTGGATTCAGAGAAGCTCTCAAACCCTTACGGGTTAAAAGCGGCTCCAGCGTGGCTCAGAGTCACAGTGGTGAGGAGATCATCGATACAAGAGATTATGCAGATTTAAGAAATACCCTCGGCACCCGAAAGTTTTCAGAATGCAAACTACGTCAACTCTGAAAACAAGAGGCACTGCATCATGATGGCAGCAGGGACAAAGCCAGGGGGGTTTAACAGACAAAAAAAGATTGTTTTAATAGGAGAGAAGCATCAGTCATTGAGTCTTACTTCATTCAGACTTTCTATCCAACTCATCCATCTTCAGTGCCAAGAGATGACAGGACCACCTCACTTTTTCCCCCCGGCCTAGTGGATCCATAATGCCCATTTCCAGCCCTAACAAATGACTCACTGCAACGGCCCCTTTCCCCAAATCGGCTTGCCAAGCCCTACGAATGTCTCAGTATCTGCTATGGTCAAGTTGGCTCTTTGGGCCTCTGGAGAAGTGGGCACCGATGGTGGATCCCAACCACCTTCTCCAGCAGCCGTTTGATCATTCGTGGCCAAGTGACACTCGTGTGCCACTTGTGACATCAGTGGCACGGGGGACCAGGGAGGGGGAGCAGGACCAAGGGCAGACGCACCACGCACACCCTTCCCACACCAACTGGAATGCAAATCGCTCGCCAAATGCTTCTCCAGGCATTATCTGCAAACAAAAATGCTCAGAGCAGGCGGTCTCTGCATCAGTGCCCTCTCTGTTTGCAGCACCTGCTCCGTGCCAGCCGCGCCGGTATCATTCTGCCACGGCCACAGAAGCCAATGGGAGCACAATGGCCCCGCCGGACACAGGGTCAGGGTTCACTCTCCCTCTCCCCATCCCACCAGTCCCCTTCACCTCCGCCATCTCCAGGAGCATGGAGTGAGGAGGTGGTTTGGGACACAGGGAGGCGGGGGAGTGCCCGGGGGGGAATATAGGTCTCTGGCGTAAATCACCAACGCCGTTTCCCCTCCTCTCCCTTTCCTTAAGACCTGATGGTCTTCAGTCACACATCTTAAAAGAAAAACAAAAAACAAAAACACAAAGACTTACTTGTCTCAAGTCGATGAAGGCCAACTGCAGCGTGTCCCCTTGGAACCCAGGCACTGGGCCGGATCTGGCAAACTCTGTGGGAAAGAAAAGAGGATAAAAAGCGCCTTTAACTAACCATGGACAGGGAGATTGGCAGACGGATGACAGGGAAGACAAGAGAGGCTGGGGGAGAGGAGGACCGCGCTTCTAAGGAGTCATGTCTCCCTCCCTTCAGCCTCTTTGTTCGCCCTTCAAAATTCGTGTCATCAAAACACCATTAATTCCACCGTCCTGACAGCAAGGAAACTGTACTAATTCGACCTGAAATTTATTCCCATGAGCCGTACTGGGCTTCAGAGTATTTGTTTTGTGAATGGACAAACAACTCGCGGAGAAGAAAGGGGGGGATGGGGGTGGAAAAGTTTTTCCTCTCGACACAATAAAATCTTCAGCTCTGAAACTCTTTTCAGTTCCGAAAGCTATTTATATTTTAGGGCACTGAAGGAATTTTCTAATTTCACGCCTGTCACCAGGCTCCATAAGCATTCATCAAAAAAATATGCCCGGCCGCATCATTAATTATTCGGCAGCAGATTATTTGCATTATCTGGTATGGAGCACTATTGCCAGCATACAGCCACCCCAAATGGGAAGAATCGCGGCCATTATGTGGCATATTTCTTTATTTTGGATGAAGACATCTGACAACTGAATAACGTTGGCTTCGAAAGCGAAGAGAATATTTTCAAGGCCACATTTACCTCCTTCCAATGTAATCTGGCCAAAATTTCATACTTAAGTCATTTATTTGTCTTCCAATTCATTATTTAAAACAAGTCTAAAGCCACCAAGGGGGACTTTAACAAATTCATGTTAGGGGACCTTAGTTCTTCCATGCCATTTAACAGCTTTTCCTTGGTAGCGCTCATGAAGCCAATGACTGCATACATTCAAGTGTGTCTTTTGAAGATGTGTCCAAGGTTGATTTTGCCCAACTTCCCTTAGTTTTCGCCCTCTTTAGCTACAGAAATAATGGCTTTATCTCTGCTCTCCATGCAACTTTTCATCACCAAGGGGACCTAACTTGTGAAGCCACAACTCGACGCCATGAAAGACTCATGAGGGAGTTTCCACTATAGGCTGAGTTTTGCTGCTCCTGGAGACACGGAGATTCGACATACTGGAATGGAGAGCTTTCAGGAAATGAAACAAAGCGTGATGGCAGAAAAGAAGGGAGGGAAAAATACACAGTAACAATATAACGTGTTTTTATGTTATATAATGCTGGTGTCTACTATTGCTCAACTATTCTCATTTTCTCCATTCAGGAATCTACAAACACTTCTGCAGTTGCATAAAATGAAGGAATGGAGAAGGCTCGGCAATGAGAAAGGAGGATTTTCCCTTCTGCCTCCATGACTGCACAAAGGTACCAGTGGACAAAGCCTTTCCCTAAGCTCTGTGAAGAGTCATTTTGTGCCAGGAAGTCTTCTCCTTGTATACTTCTCCTCCCAAAAGTCATCTCACTTTCAAGCAAATGCCTCAAAAGAAGGAAAACAGATCTCCACAGATTTCCTGTGGCAGATTAGTCATATGGCTTTAATAAGAAGGATTAATGAATTAGCAGGGATTCAGACCTGCTCCTTAACTGACTTATTTCTGGAAACCAGAAAAGGGTTACTTGCTGGCTTTCTGGCATCTCCTTCCATTAAAATCTCAGCATGGAGAACATCCTTTAGTACAGACAGCAGCACCTCCAGGGCACTGCGGCCACTTCCAGACATTGAGAGCTTTGCTTTTTAATACACTCAGCCAACAGAAGGGCTCTACAACTGAAATGATGGCTCATCTTTGCACTGTTCACTGGGATGCAGAAAGAAAAAGCATGACTCAAAGGCAGAAGAACCCACTCACAGCTTCTGTCACTTTTGTACGGGACAGGACTGGGCAGAGGACAGTCCAAGGTGAATTCTTGCTTAAGCCTCCAAAACTATTTTAATTACTTTTAACCGCATGCGTACATTTGCTACAAAGCTTGAGCGTAGCTTGCCTGAACCAGCATGCACACACAAGGCAACAACGAAACAAGCTTTCTGACTCTGCTCTGCAAGGGATAAATCATCTTTACACATTTGCTGTACACCCCACTGTCTCATCTGGAAAAATGATCCCCAAAGCCACATCAACCCTCTAACCTCCTACTCTGAAGAAGCACGTACCTGAGAAGCTAAAAACATTTAGATATGGAAAATAGCCTTTGAACTTCCTCTTGAAAGGTGAATCTGTGCCGGGCTTCTCCGTACCACTAATGTCTCTAGGTTGAAATACCCAACAAGCTGGCTCAGCATTACGTCCTACACTCTACAAATGGGGCCACTTCATGTTACCTATTACATTTGAAGCAACACTGGAAAAGAGAAACCCTGAAAGGACCGAATTGAAAAGAATTTTTTATTTTAGACTGAAGAGTTTTCAGCTGCTCTGAATCTATTTTGAAGCACACATGGAGTTTAAGGCCTTCCTACAAGTATGAATTTCAAATAGTCATGAGAAAACGCCTGCAAATTGATCTTAAATGTTTTCAAAACCTTGTGAACTTGCCACTATTGTCATCCACCCCTGAGCAACGTGAGATAGATTTTATCCCATGCCACAGCCAGCAGCTCACCTTCAGCAGTCTCCTATTAACCAACCCTATGGGAGTTAACACTGGGAATTATGGAGCAATATCACCCTTTAACTCTACAAGTTACAACAACAGTAGCATACGGAACGTGCTCTTTATTAACCAACATTTGCTTCAACAGCAATTCTCATAAAAAGAATGGATTGGAGTCTCTATGGCATGAACAACGCACTTGACATCCATGGAGTGAAATGACACATGAGATCACATTGCTTGTGTTACAGAAGAAATTAGATCAAGACCACAGCTTATATGCAATAAGAAAGCTGCTCCAGCAATGGACTGTAAGGAAGCAGAAGAGGAATGAATGCAATGCTTCACCCCATGGCTGCTACAAAAACAGCGGTACCTCCTGTAATCAGAGGTCACACTTTACATACCAATGCCACGAACTTATTTTGGAAGGAGAAATAAACAATGTCTTAAAGAAAAAAAAAAAAAAAGAAAGAAACAAAGAAGAGAACAGAGCTTTAGAGGAGAGACACAGCCAGTTCTTCTTGGTTTTAATCTCTTCAACCAGATTTCAGGATAATTTTCTTGGAACGACCAAGCACAGTGCTGGCCTCGGTACTGTCGGATTCATTTATTGTACTTTCTCCACTACCAAGGCAAGTGGCAAACATAGCAAGCCACCTACAGTACAGCCCCTTGAGCAGAAAATCACAAGAGAATAGAGCAGATCAGTATGCGCCTGTTTGTACAAAGCATTTAGCCAGGCTAAAGGTTTGAGAGACTTGTGTTCAGGCCAAAAAAGTAATGTCTTTGCAAGGTCTACAGGCTTGGGCCACCCAGGGCAGGTCACAGAGGGACTCTAACCTCTCTTCCAAAACATTTCACCAATGAAAGAATCAAGGAACAGGAACCGTTAAGCCCTTTACAATGAACAAAGAATAAAGAGTTCAAACACACACAAGAAAAGAGACATCCACTGGAAATTAATTATACAGAATTGGAGGAATCTCTCCCTTTGTATACTGTACGCATAGGGACAGAACCTTACACATATTGTGTGGTCAAAGTAAACACAGCTGGCTACTTTATTCCTCAAAAAGATCATCTTGAGGGTGAGATTTTCCCCAAATTACTTTACACTGCCAGAATTTACGATGGCAGACCTGCAGGATCGAGGTTGCAGCAACTCCTGTTGAGGGGAACCATGAATATCCGCTTGTGCTTGCACCTCTTTTGAAAGAGTTTTTGTTTTAGGGGAAATAATTATGTCCACTTCCCCTAATGAACAATCTAGATCTTAAAACCATCGTCCGTAGATCAACTCTTTGAAGACCATCTTAGAAAAATCAACCAACAGGACTCCTTGCTTCTTACCCAGAGGTACAAAATGATCCGAGGATTCTCAAGATGAAGAACAAGTGTTTGCATGGACTGGAGATGCTTACAAGGCAAAAAGGGACAGCAAGGATAGGGATGAGTTTAGGCAATGGGAGGATGGAATGTCCTGTTGGCAGAGGACACATTATTCTCTTCCCAGCTTTTGTTGAGCTTATGCGAGCTTATACCTCCATCCAAATCATAGGATCATAGCATCATATGATATCCCGAGTTGGAAGGGACCCATGACGATCATCTAGTCCAACTTCTGGCTCCACGCAAGCCCATCCAAAAATCAGACCACATATCTGAGTGTTGTCCAGATGCTCAGGCAAATGATCAAAGCTCAGTGCCACCTCTGGAATCTCAGAGGCCTGCAGGGAGAGGGAAGAGTCATCCAAAATCCACCCAACAGCATCAGACGACATTACAAGACTCTAAGCCATTTGCTCTCTGAAGGAGCAATGACAACCATGGAGCTCCAACACTGCACAGAGATGTAGTCCAGGGGCTGCTCACTGTGCACTGGAACACTGGGATCTGCTAACTTATAGGACAGGTGTTCAGAATCTATAAAGTTTCCCAAACCCCAAACCCAAGACTTTCAGTGGATGTCTCTTATCAGATGGGAAGTTCTCTACTCCACTGAAATACGAATAGTAGGAGAAGTGGAATCAAGAATCAGTGGTGTGTGTGCCATGCTCAGTGGGGAGAGAAAGCAGGTGCAGAGCTGGGATGGTGGTCCCAGTGAGTTCCAAAAATTGTTCGAACTCAAGCAGTTACCATGGATTGCTCTTGAAACCAAAGAGCTATTCTTGCTAAATGCCAAGAAGAAGGTAGGAGACCAGGTGAAAACCTCCTCTCTCTTTGTTAAGGTGGAAAAAAACTGATTTAGCTGAGACACAGGGAGATAAAACCCAGCTGCACTGTGTAAAAAGGTTTCTGAAATCTTTGTAAGTTTCTTTCCATATATTTTAAACAATTAATTAAAGCACAGCATAAAGGTAAATCCACTCAGAGGCCCATTACTTTTCATTTGCTAGGAAAAGGAATGAAAGCAAACGCTGAGGATTTTGAGGGACCCGAGTCATACTTTCAAAGTCTAATTTAAATAGGTGTGGACAGGAGCATTTTCTCTTCCTGAAGTTGCAAAGGACGTCAAAGATGGGAAAATATCAGGGAACATCCTGGTAACAAAGGAGAAAATGGGAAGGTGTTGGAGATGGAGGGTATCTGAAATGTTGGAGCAGACAGCGTTGGAAACAAGAAGACAGAAGAGATTTGGAGGACACCATGGAATCAGCAACAAGTTTACAAGGGAGATGGAAAACCCTTCCAGTAGACACTGGAAGAGAAGCTCAGTGATGGGAAGCTTTGTGCTTCCCACCCACGCACGCTTAGAGCACTGACCCATCAAGCATTGCTTCCCTTGCCAATGCAAGTGCAGAATCCTAAAAGGAAGGCATTTCTCCCCACGAATGCAGCGCTCACTCCCAGCAAACCAATGCACCAGAGGAGCAGGCAGCTGTGCTGCGGGTTTGTAGGGGGAGGGCTGCCCACAGCACTGAGCAGACGATGGGATTTCTGCATGAGAAAGTTCTTGGGGCCAGATAAGGCAGCCAAGAATGAGGTGGTAAACAGCTGCCCAGGGACCCATAGAGGCACACGCTGGCGTGCTCTCATGTTGGGTTCAGTGCTCCTCAAGCTGGCTGCCACGTCAGCGTTCCTTATTGACTGCACCCATGAGTGGGCTGAAGGAGAACGCGGAGTTGAATGAGATTTAAAATATAATTTTACGGTGCTTTTAATTTCTTGTAAAGCAGCAGTTAAAAGGCTTTGGAGATCGTGGAACTGCTTATTTTATGACCTAAATATTGTAAAAACAATCTGCCTCAATCGCCGCTGGAATCGGTTATAGATGTGAAACGCTTTTGTACGAGCGAGAGCAGCCGCCTTCCCTTTCTCTTCTTCTATTCCAACCTCCAACTTGGGGTTGTTACATCAGATTCCCACTGCCTTGGAGGTGAAGGAGATGGAGAAAGACCAACACCAGCACCAGGAGGTCCCAAAAAGAGCAGAGCATGGAACCAGGCAAAAGGGAACAAAGCAATCACAAAAAGTACCAAGGAATCTTGGGTTGTGGACCTGTGCTGTAAGACCACAAGCCCATTTTGAAGAGCAAACATCTGTTCTGAAAAAAGAATCCCCTCTTCTATTTCCAGGTTTGCAGAAGTATTTGTGTTGCTTTTCTTTTTTTTCATTCCCTCCAGAGTTGTTTTTTTTCTCCCTCTTTTCATGTTGGCTCCCTGGGCTGGTGCCAGAACACACTCCTAAATTGAGACATAATTAGACGTGTCCTACTGTGTCTTTCTGGACAACTCATTTAACCTCTACGTCTTACTTCGCTCTAGGTTTAAATAAGAGGTGAGAGAATCTCTCTCGGCTGCATAGGAAGAGCTATAGAAAGCCAAGCAATAACAAAGAGTTACAAGTAATAGCAAAACTTCACATCTTAGTTTGCTCCTCTCTGCTTCCTTGTGCAGCCATTCCCATCCATTACACTGAAAAGAGATCATTTCTAAATTAGAAACTGTACCATGGACCTACGAGTCTGGGGAATTAATCTACCTGTGTCTTGGCTCAAGCTTAAACCATTATCCTTTTCACCTCTACAACTACTACACGTTGTGTACATAACCATATTTTCTTGTAACGTGTATTATATCTACTCCTATACAGAGTAAGTTAGCTGCATCCCCCTCAAACCACGCTTAATTCACTATGTTTCCATAGATTTGTCTCATCACTCTCCTCACTAGATTACATTTTGTCATCTGTTTTACTCAGCACTGGGGGGCATCCAGGGAGGAGATGCTGTTTAGTGACCCAAGTTACCGACGGGGTGGAAAACTGCAGGGTCATGAGTCTGTTTGCAGCCAAAAGAAAAAGAAGGAAACGATTACTAATGACAAATGCTTCCTATTATTCTCAGCACCACAGACTGTCCCTGTGCGGACACAGATTGAGAACACAGCTGCTACCGGTGTAGCTGATGGGACACAAATTAGACAGCCAGAATTGAGGGCTGAAGGCACTTCTGAAAGAAAAATAAGGTGTTGCTTGCATTGTGACATATGATATAGCTGCAAACTATGGATACGATTCATTAAATGCTGATCCTTCTCCCAGGTTCTTCTGCACACAGTACTGTGAAAAAGCAAAAGAGATGACCAGCTGTTAAAGAATATCCCCTATCAAACCCACACAATCTTACAGGTGACCTTTCAACAGAATTTAATCTCTCAGCACTTACAGTTGATGGGTGCAGCCAAACTGGAGCATGATTAGCAACACTTCTGCAAAGGGCAGGAGAATATAGTCTGACAGCATTAACTGCCAAAATGAGGATGACCACAACACATTTTCACTGTATGAATGGAGTTACCAAAGATAGGAATGGCAGCTCCCAGCTATTTAGGTTCCAACACCATCCCCAGTGAGGACAGGGACTACCTTGCTGTGGGGCTTAACAGGAATCACATCAGGGCAAAGAATATTTCAGAAGACTCCGCAATGAAAAGGTTTGTGATGATCTCAAGAGCAAACACTCCAACTGCCTCATCAACCCAGAAAGCCAAAAAGGTGAGTATTTGGAATACACATCCTCCCAAAATCTTCATCTACTCTGAACTTAAAGTATTTCTTGAACCCTATCAAGCTGTTTTCCATAGCCATTGCTTTTGTGATATGTTCACAAGCGATCACAGAACATAATCACAGACTCTCAGAATGGTTTGAGCTGGAAGAAACCCTTAAAGGCCATCTGCTCTCCCTCCCTACAATGAATGGGGACACCCACAGCTCCATCAGTGCTCAGAGTCCCTCCAGTCTGACCTTGGGTGTCTCTGAGGCACCATCACCTCTCTGGGCAACCTGTGCCAGTGCCTCACTTCACTGTAAATAACTCCTTCCTTATATCCAGCCTAAATCTCGCCTCTTCTATTCTGAAACCATTTCCCCTTGTCCTGTCACAACAGAGAAGTCTCCTGTCAGGTCTCCCCAGACCTTCCTCTCCAGACTTTAAATACCAAGCACCTAAAACCTGGCAGATAGACATGTATCTGAGCTAGCTTTGGCCAACGTTCTCCGAGAAAGGGCACTGCCCTGCTGCAGCACCAGACTGACCACCCCTGGAGAGATGCCCATCCAGCACCAAATGTGCTTCAGTGCAAGGCAGCGGCCCCAAGAGATGAACATGCCCAACTCTGTCTGTCCCAGGACACCATGACCATCTCTCACCTCTCTGGTTCATGGTTACTTGAATCAGATGATATATGTGGTTATTTGTTCAGCATGGAGAAGAGAAGGTTGTGGGGTGACCTCATTGCAGCCTTCCAGTACCTAAAGGGAGCCTATAAACAGGAGGGGAATCAATTCTTTACAAGGATAGATAATGGCAGGACGAGGGGAAATGGTTTGAAGTTGAAGGAGGGAAGACTGAGGTTGGATGTCAGGGGGAAGTTGTTTGCTGTGAGAGTGGTGAGGTGCTGGAACAGCTGCCCAGAGAGGCTGTGGATGCCCCCTCCATCCCTGGAGGTGTTCAAGGCCAGGTTGGATGGGGCCCTGGGCAGCCTGAGCTGGTATGAAATATGGAGGTTGGTGGCCCTGTATGCAGTGGGGGGATTGGAGCTTGTATGATCCTTGAGGTTCCTTCCAACCCCAGCCATTCTATGATTCTATGATACCAACCTGTCCAAACATGCAACTTTTCAAACCCTGTTTGTGCTTTTGCCTTCTACCAACACCTTGCAAGAGCCAGTGCCACCACTGGACTGCACAGTGCTCAAACCTCCTAAATGCAAAGGTGCTGGGTGACATTGTAGGGGGTAGGCTGGACGCTGGAGCTGAAGAACTGCATGGCAGCTCTGCTGCCATCAACAAATAAAGTTGTCTGTGGGTATGGACTCATCCCCTTTCCCCTTTCTGAGCTTCAATTAGCATCTAAAAACAGACTCACAAGGGAGGGAGGTTCCTGTGCAAAAGTGTACTGGCCCTGCCTTGGATTAAGTGATAAAAATAGGACGAAGCAAGGTGTTCTGTCAGTTCTGTTCTATATTTTGTTAACACCTACAGACAGCAGGATAATAAGCAACTTGAGAGAAATCTTAGGATTTCAGAGCTTATTCAGATGTTAGCTAGGTGAACTAAAATGAGCAGGGTTGACTTGCAAGCCACATTGGTGGCCCTTACCATGCTCACATGCTCACCTCTAAATAGATGTAACGGTTGCTTACAGTGACTCTTTTCCATAGCAGTAACTTTGCAAAAAGGGGATGCTTTGAGAAAGAACTCCCTGCAGCAGATAGAGGAGACAACCAGCTGAAGTCAGGAGATGACCAGAACTTCTTAAGAACAGTTACTGTTTTCTGAAACAGTTATAAGTGAACTGATTTTTGTCAGCCCTCCCCGACGTTTTACCCACTCTAATTCCTCACAGTTTTAAAACACTCCGTTTCAAAAAGCAGGGATGATCTGGAAAGCATCAGTGAAGCATTTTAGGAAGAAAAGGATCAGCAAAGCTCTGATTTCTTCGAATTTGCTGAGCTGCTTCTGCGCTGAAGATATTGCCAGATGTCCTCCCAGACAGCAGCAGCCAGCTCTGCCAGTCCCAACCACTTGGCACCACTCACAGCACTGCCCTGGCTCGGGTCCTGGCATATAAATGGGCAAAGCAAAGCAATGGGAAAAGGGATGGTAATGCATCTTACGTTCACATTCCTCCACGTCCAGGTTGAACTGCTGCAAGGCGCCCAGCGTCAGCTGCCGCACTTCAGCTTCCAGCAGCAGCTGCATCAGTGAGGTGGACAGGTGTTTGCATGCTGACATGCAGGCGGTCTGTGCCACCTTCCCCTGCAAAACAAAAGGGAGATGTATTAAGGCCCACAAGCGCGCATTGACAGCTCTAAGCAGCCCTCAACGTCACATCCTACTGTGGACAAGACAACGGGTCCTGTTTCATTTGACAGCCTGCATAGATTGCATGAGGTAACCTGGTTGATTGGTTAAAATGGTGGGAGAGGTGACAACTCAGAACTGCAGCCTACAGGTCAAACTGCATTTATTTACATTGCACAGTAAGAGTTTCACAATCCCATTCCAACAGCAGAGGCACTCAGCTCAACGAGGGCTCTTTCAGTCTTTACTGCACAGCAGTAGGGAGCTCTTTGCTCCTTCACCAGGTTGGGTCATCCATGGTGCCAGCAGAAATGACTTGGGTCTGTGGAGCAAAGGACACAAGCAGGCTCCTTGGCGTGCACCCTGCAGAGCTGGAGGGACGCTGTGATGACCACAAACCCACGCTGATGCTCTCCTGCCTACTTCCAGTGCTGTGTGGCACCATCCAGACACAGGTGGGGAACAAGGAGAAGGAAACATCACAGTGAGGAGGTGCTGAAGCTGTGATGGCTTGGATAGGATTGGGGTGAGGTGGTTTCACCCCAATGGGCAGCTCAGCTCTACCACAATGCTCCCTCACTGCCCCTCCTTCAAGGAAGAGGGGGAGAAAATAGGACGGAAAAGGGTGCAAAGGTTGAGATAAGAACAAGGAGATATCTGACCAGCTATTGTTATAGGCAAAACAACAGAGCCAGCATAGGGAGATTAAGGTAATTCATTGCTTGTTAGTACAGATTAGAGCAGTGAGAACTAAAAGTCACCTACAGGCACCTTCCCTCATCCACCCTGTCCCTGAGTTAGGGAATGGCAGTGGTCAGTCCATAACACTACATCTCTGCTACTCCTTCATGGTCGGGGGGACAGCCTGCTCCTCCATGGGCCCCTCCTGGGCTGCAGAGAGCTGCTTTTCTGTGCCTGGAGCACCTCCTGCCCTCCTTCTGCACCTGCCTGTTCCATAGAGAAGGTGACCATCACCACTTGGCTCCTCCAATACACCCCTACTTCACGGGGAGACCTACAGGGCCAACAGGTTGGGTCAGTCTGGAGAAGAGGAGGATCAGGAGAGACCTCATCACCCTCTCCAACTCCCTGCAAGGAGGTGGTAGTGAGGTGGGGCTCAGCCTCTGCTCCCACGTAATGGGGATAGGATGAGGAGAGATGATGGCCTCAAGTTGAGTTCTTCCATGGCAGCCTACAGGTTCCTGAACTCCCTGAGACACCAGGAGGAGACAGAGGTGGAAAAGTCCTTTCTGTGAGCAGCACGTATTTCCCCACCCACCAAATTGGAACCAAACCTTTGTGACGAGCTTCCAAAACAGGCAGCAGACTTTTCTTCAACCTATCTGAATTTTCTCCCCTCATTTACAGTTCCTCAAAAGACTTCCCTCATTGCTTGGGTCCAAAAGTTGTGGCAGGATCTTCATAACAGGCTTCCATATGTGCAGGTGTGGAACATGCGTTAAACCCATAAAAATGTGCAGTTCTGGCATGGAAACACAGACTTACAGAAACCCTTTGGTCAGTGGTGCACGGAACCATCCACAGCTCCATGCCTGCAACCTCCACGACAGCACTTCTGGTGGTGGGGCTGCCATGCAAACAGCCGTGCTTCAGCTGGAGATTATGTTTTCAAACACACACAAAAGGATTTAACACGCTCTCTTGGAAACTAGGAGTGGCTTAGGAGACTTTTACAAGCATTGTACAAATTGTACTCGAACTGGGATTAAAGTGGGGGTGGATCACAAGTTTCACTGCCGCAGCACGGACAGATGAGCAGATTTTTGATACGTGAACTGGGAAGTGCTCTTGCCAGCTTCACCAAGTAGGTTTGGATGCATGGGCAACATCCATCTTCAGCAGCAGGAAAACTTCATTTGTCATTAATAAGAAAGCAGAGCCACGCTCGGAGGGCAGGGCACTCCATCTCCATTGTTTACTGCCGTTCCCAGGCTCCGGCAGCGTCCATTACTCACCTCAGAACAAACACCTTTACTAAAATTAAGATGAAACATGGAGACCATAAAGTTTAGCGCAGCCACGAGTTTTTGCTTTTCATCATTTCCTCGCACCGTTCTGACACACGGGGTTATTTACAGTGCTGCTCGGGCTCATTCCTCAGCCCTGTGCTGCAGTGGAAGCACGCTGCTATCCGACCACCATTTTTCTTCATTACTTCCAACAGACACTTGAGTTGTTGCTGTGCTCCAGGTGTTTTGATGTGTTGTTGAGCAGAAGGCTCAGTCCTGGCCCATCCTCTACGATCCTCACACATCATCCTCTCCGACTGCAGTTCCACAGCTCTTCCCCAGCCAACTTGAGACTCCTTGTGATACGCAACTCAAACCCAAAGTGGACTTTTCCTTCTCATCACCCACTCTGCTCGGAAGAGAACCCAAAAGTCCATGAGTATGGATACAGGCTGCAACCTCAGGGCAGCTGAGATGCAAACCTCCATGGACGAAGTCAAAAGGAAAACCCATAAGAAGGTTTTCAGCCTCAGTGAGAAAAACCATTAGTATAACACCTTCCTTGTACACCAAGCAAAGGTTGGATCAGCAGCACGGAGGTACCTAAAGGGTTACCTGTGCCTGCAAACACACCTGTTCTGCTGCATGCATTCCTCCGGCCAGCCAAGCTTGCCCAAAGAGAGAGTGAATGACAAGCAACACTGGGAGGGTGAGAAGAACAGCAAATAGTTGAAATGAAATGTCAAGTTAATAAGCCAGACGCAAGGGAGACGGGAGGGAAAAGGCAATTTAATCGTCATGCCTTGACAGCACAACAGCTCTGCAGAGCCTTCGTGGCAGAAGCAGAGCATGCAAACCATACAAGCATACAAACTCAAAATTACTGGATGAAAGATAAAAGCATACGCAGGTACTTCTCCCACCTTGTAAGCGTTAATCCATTCTTCCTTCTATTTATGAGCTGAGGGCCTGGAGATGCCACGGGGCTTTAAATCACTGTGATAAAAGCCCAGATGGGGACAGGAGGTCCTCCGACATGGGGCACAGCTGCCTGGCACAACGAGGTCTAAAACCTTTCCAGAATTTATGCTCTTTCAGTCTTATAAATACAGATACAGACAGTGACAAAGATGCCACTTACAGCAGCTCCCTGCAAGATCAGCCACTGCACACAAACATCAATTTTATAATATTTTCCCAGAAACCAACTGTAATACCTGCTTGATAAGCAGTTGTTGCTGGTAGGAGAAAAATCAAATGAGGACATTGATCGATTGCTCCTAACAAGGTGTTCTATTTTTCTTTCCTCTTCCAGTTCCCACTGTAGGTTCCCAGGATGGCGGCAGTGATCCAAGCCCATGATTGACATGTTTTCCTCCAAACCTCCAAAATCATTACCAGCCCCACCCTAAGCAGTGCCAGGACATGTGCCTTGGCTTGGAGGTGTCAGGGGTGCCCATCACAGATGCTGCTCCTACAGAACCCTGCGATCCCACTGTGGTTTGGAGGAACCAGAGAGGCATGCAGATATGGCACCGAGGGACATGATAAGTGGGCATAGAGGGGATGGGTTGGCAGCTGGACTTGATGATCTTAGAGGGCTCTTATAATCTTAGGGATTCTATGTGGTCTCCTCCTTGGGGGACTATGAAAGCCATTGGATGTGGGCCCAGGCACAACTGGGGTCCCTGGTGGGGCTGGGCTGGACCAGAAGGACCCAGATGGACATCCAGCCTCAGCCAGGATGTGCCTGCAGAGATGAGGGTAAAACTAACACTTTGAAGTCACCAATAGCTCATTTACAACATGACAGAAAATGGAGGGGCTTCAAGTCACAAGAAAACCCCTATCACATCAGTTGTTTACTCAAGATCTTTGCAAACCTCACAAAAGCTGAACTGGATTTGCATGGGGCAGAACTGGGTGGTGTGTGAGTACATGCAGAGCTCAGCTGCTGAGACACCCAAGCACATGCCCAACCACCTTTGCCCATCTCAAACATGGCCAGCAAAATAGCAATTCTCCTCCTGAGCATAGCATCAACAGCCATGGGTTTGTTTGTAGATTTTAATTGGTCTGTAAGTGCTTTTTTCCCCACCTAGGAATCCCCCTTTCCACTGCCCTCAGTGCAACCCTCTTGCAGCTGGGGTCTGCAGCTGGTGTTTCCATCCCAGGCAGGTTGAATATTAGGAAGAATTTCTTCTCCAAAAGAGTGGTCAGGCACTGGCACAGCTGCCCAGGGAGTGGTGGGGTCACCATCCCTGGAGGTGTTCCAGAACCATGGAGATGTGGCACTGAGGTCAGTGGGCATGGTGGGATGGGTTGGGGTTGGACTTGGGAATCTCAGAAATCCTTTCCAACCTTAATGACTCGATGATGTGACATCTCTCAAGGTGATGCTGCCCATCTGGTGCCCCCAGAGATGCACAGAGGCATGATGTTCAATGAATACCAATGACTACCCAATGAATGAAGCAGCAGAGCCAAACCTCCCGATGCTGTCCCTAAGATGCAAGCCATAGGTGCCACGCATCAGCATGAGCAGCACTCCTTGGACCAAGCCCCACCGAGTCAATCACGCTGCAGGAAACCAGCCATGAAATCATCTCATTTCAGCTGCATTTCATCCTTGGGCAGCAGATTAAGCCCTTGGGGTTCCCAGGAGGCAGGAGAAGGTCAGCGCGGAGCCGGCGTTGCTCACGGTAGCGTATTTGTTTGAAAATAGCAAATATGTTAACAATTAGGGAAGGGAAAAGCTGAAAGGCTGCCTTGTTAATTAAGGAACTTGCTATCAAAGGACTCATTAAAAGCTACTGAAACGGAATGGTTGTTAAAATAAATACCCATTAATCTTAGTGTGCAATCAGGAATCGGTTGCCGCTACCCACCTCGTTGCAAGGCTGGGGGCTCCCGGCTTGCACCAACTGCTGCAGGCTGCAGGGAGACCCACGGGGACCCATCCTGCATCACCTCCACCTCCAAAGG